ATAATTGATTCACTTTGTTATAAAGCAGAAAGTAACACACCATTGTAAAGCAATTATACTCCAATAAAGATGTAAAAAAAAAAAAAGAAGTATTGAGGTAGGCAGCCTAGGGAAGGCCTGTGATCCAAGCATTGGGGACACAGGCTCCTTCTGTCTTTGGTTCTGCTGTGTGAGACTACCATGCCCAAAGTCTCATGGTCCAATATAGCTGCTGGAGCTCCAGCCATTACAGCCACATTCCAGCCAATGCAAAGGCAGAAATAATAAAAAATGGCATACGCCCTCTGTTTAAGGTCCTTTCCCTAATGTTACACACCCCTTCCATTGCCAGAATGTAGCCACACGGCCACACTTCGATGCAGGAGAGGCTAAGGAATGCAGGAGAGACCCCTATTCTGGGAAGCCATTTGCTGACCTAAAAATCAGGAGCCTGTGACTAAGAGAGAAGGGAAGAACCAATAGTAGGGATGACCACTGTCCCTGCCACTTTTGCCCTGCTTCTGGGGACAAGGACTTTGCTGGGCATAGATACCCATAGATGGCAAGTGGAGTCAGCCCCTTGGGGACTGGGAAGAGACCAATACACAGACTGGCAGGACAGATGGGTGGATCAGGGCTCCACAGAGGAAGCTGCATCTCACTGTTCTCTCTCCACAGTACTGGGTGGGCACCTCCAAGGCAGCTGACCTGCCTCTCACTCGCTCTGTCGATAGCTACATGACAGTCCAGAACATGATGAGCACAACACAGGGACAACCTCATGGGAGGAACTCACTTTGTTCTGGGGTTGAGGGCCTTACTGTGTGACTTTGGGCATGTCATGTCTCACTAGAGGATCAAGTGAGGTGGTGCATATGCCTGCCTGGGTGCCTATCTCATGCTACCTAGTCCATTACCATGTTTGACCCAGGCATGTCTGCATGACCTTGGCCAGTGCCTCCCCATCCCCATCTTTAAAACGGGGGTGATGACACAGAACCTCCTCACAGGCCTGGCCTCCTTCCTCTGTCCATCTGGAAATGAGGTGGCAGCCCTGCCCTGCCTCCCGGCTCTGTGCACTGAACTGGTGGGAGCAGCGGTGCCTGGAAGTGCCTGTAAGAAATGCAGAATCCTAGGCCCACCCCACTGCCATGAGATGGTTCCCCTCAGGTGGGTGGCAGGCAGGCGGGCCACCAGCTCCCAGGGAGTGCCCATTGCCCCAGGCTGTCCTCCTCCTCCTGCTCTCCCTGGTGGTGGGCATGTGTGGGCCAGCCTGGGCCCTGGCAGAGACAGGAGCTATAGCTGCAAAGCCAGCCTCCCGGGGTAGGGTTGAGCACAGGCCTGCTTCACTCAGCCTGGGGCACCTCAGACATGCCACACCACGTTTCCAACCTTGGTCTCTCTCTCTCTCTGTAAAGTGGAAATGCCATCTCTGCCTCCTTGCCTCTCATGAATGGAAAAGGGCCAGGGATTCAGCCACTTTCGAAGGTTCCCATTCATGTGGTCTATCTGAATGCACATCTGCCCAGATCCCAGGTGACACAGTCGTGATCTCCCCACAGTAATTCGGGGGCACAGGCAATGTTCATCCCCCTCCTGGTGGTGTGTTGGGTGAAGTGGGGCCCAGGCCCTTCTAGCCATGAGAATCTCATTCCTCCTGATGAGGAGTGAAGTGGGTCAGGCATCCTGGTCTCTGTCTCACCTAGGGCATGAAGCCACCGCCCTAAGAGCCACCAGACTCTGGGGCCTGTTCTGGGTGATGTGGCCCTTGGCTATCACTGGCCAGCAGGATTTCAGCACCTGCTCAAGGTGGCAGCATGAGGAGGGGGCTTAGGTCAAGGCCACCATCACCCTCACTGCCGGGAGCTGGTCTGGGCTTCACCTGGGCTGGGTCAATTCATCTTCACAGCATCCCCATTTTACAGACAGTAAATGTATCCCCAGTCACACAGCTCAGAAGGGGCAGGCGAACTCAGCATCATGCTGCGTGTGTGTGTCTGCACATGTAAGTTGGCTGCACATGCAGCCTCTCTATCACGTGTGTCTCTCTGCTGGCGCATAGCTGCTGGCCCTGTCCCTCCCCAGCCCACCCCGTCTCCTGGGACATTACCCAATGGTCACTTCCCCATGGACCCAAGCCTCGTGGTCAGCATCTGGGAACCGGCCTTGGACAGTCATGCTGGTCTCTCCAGCATTAGAATTTGAAACCAGGTAGATGTGGGGACACACGGTAGGCACTGCCCCTTTCAGTCTGTCCTGGGAACAATCTGGTAAACAGACACAGCATAGGCAAATGAAAATGACAAAGCAGACAAGGGAAGTCCCTCCCTGAGGACAGGCACACCTGGAGAATGAGACCCTGCCCAGGGCTGACGAAGCCCCCCACAGGTCTACCCTGGGAAGGTGAAGTGCCTGCCTGGGTCCCTGGTGGTCAGTACAGAGCACAGTTACAAACCCAGGTCTAAACACCCAATTATTCCACCACGATCTTTCCTGGCTTCCGCCTTTTGGACAGAGGGAATAATGAACCTCTGCACAGAGCTGCCATGTGGCCCACATGAGAGACCCCTATGACACCCACAGAAACCCTCTCACTCAGCAAACAGGCAGGAACAAAGCCCTCTCCTCCCACCTCTCTTCACCTGCCCCACCCCCACACCTGGGGCCTCCCCTGCAACCTCAGAGCCCTCTCTCCTGGCTGCCCTCTCCCTGGCCCCTCCAGAAGCCAGCACTGCCCCTAGGGCAGAGAGGCTAGTGCTTTTGTATGAATAATACCAACTTAAAAACTGGATTTCCAGCTGCTCATGAATAGTTAGCTGTGGGTTATGTGAGAATAACAGTAACTACTACTTGTAATGGCCACCATGCCCAGGCCTGATCAGACCCCCAGGCACTGCTGTGTCCCCACTCATGGTGGCTTTGTGAACTAGGACTGAGGCAGTTGCCACCTCTGTGAGCCTCAGTTTCCTTAGCTATGAAGTGGGCCAGCAGCAGTTCCTCCTTCATGGGACGGCTGTGTGTGGGCAGAACTGATGTCCCATTGGGATGCATTGGGCCCTCAGCGGTGCTGCGACTGGGCAGGCCCTGCTCACACCTGCACAAAAGGGAGGGCTATTGGTCTGAACTGTGGGCTGCAGGACTTCAGGGCTAAGGTCAGGACAAGCTCCCAGGGCAGCCCATACAGACCCTAGACACTAGGCCCCCACCATGGGCAGAGCACTGAGGAACCAAATCCAAACACCTCATTGAACAGAGAAGGAAACCAGCCACATCATACAGCGGGCGAGCGCCCAGCTGGGTTCAGCCAGTGCTGTGGACACCCCACAGCCCCCAGCCTGTCCCCCACCACAAATGGTTTGGACATGCCAGCAGGTCAGGAGGAGGACCTGGTGCAGGGTTTAGCGGAAGATTCCTTTTTCTGATCAATCTCCAGGGTGACTTGCATTTTCCATGCCTTCTATTTCACTTTCAAAACTCCCTCTAGCAGCGGGGGTGAGGCTCTGGGCAGGGGGAAACAAGGAGGGTCCAGTGTGGAGGGCAATCACAGGTTAGACAGGCACTAGGTTACAACGCCCATGGGTACCCACCTGCTGGCTGGGTAGACTAGCCGGGAGAGCATCCAGTCCACTCTTACAGGACTGCACAATCTCCCCAGTTCTGAGCGTGGCCCTCCTGGGTCTCTTCCCAGCTGTGCCTCAGTTTCCTCCCATCATGTGAGGGGGTAACACCTGCTTCCCAGGGCTGTAAGACAAAAAGTGATGCACCTGGCCCCACGCAGGGCTGTCCCATGCCACCTCCCATCTGCCCCAGAAGTCCTGTCCCAGCCCACAGCACCTAGAACAGGGCATGGCATACAGCAGGCACTCTGTGGTTACAGGATGAATGAATGAACCTCCAGCTCCAGGTCAATGTAACTCACTGTCTCCTGACCTTGGGCACTGCTGCTTACCCTCTCTGGTCTTTGGTTTATGTGGAGGGAGAAGGCCATGCCCACATGGCCTTGGTCTCCCTCGCAGGCAGGGAAGCTGACGCACAGAGGTCAAGCCACCTGCCTGAGCCACTCTGCTGAAGACATCAGCAGACACCGTGACAGACAGCGGAAAAGGGGCAGGGGTGGGGAGGGGGAGGGCGGCTCGACTAGGAGTGAAAAGCAGGTGGGCCTGGGAGCCGGGTCAGGGTCAGGACAGGAGAACACAGAGGCCTGTACTTTTGCATACCTGCCAGGGGAGATAATGCCTGGCCCCTTCGTACCTGCCTGGCTTCTGGGAGAGGCCCGCGTCCTGGCCGACAGAGCCAAGGGCTGGAGGAACCAACACGCTCAGGCCACCCCCAACGGCTGGCACGGGCACACACAGGGTGCCACCCCAAACAAGGGGGCCCTGCCTGAAGACAACAGAGGCTGCTTCATGAGGGGCAACGGCGGGCACTGGCACACAAAGCGGGCCCAACCTGTGGTGATCCGCTCTCTGCCTCCCCCCTCCCTCCCCTCGTGAGTGCGCGGGAGGCCTTCATGCCCCCATTTCCTAGACGAGAAGGCCGAGGCTCAGAGGGTGTGAGACCCACACGACTCGTTGACTCAGGTTCCGGGTGCGGGGCGGACGATGTGTTGGCGAGACCTGCAGTGGGGCCCCTGGGGTGAGCATCACCCCGTTAAAAAAAAACAAAACAAAACCCACACCCGCGGGAGCGCCCTTTCGCCTTCACAGCGCGTTCGGCAGTTAGCGAAGCGGCCGGGGAAAGGCCGGTTCTTGTCCTCGTTTTGTGGATTAAAAGTGTCCACGACAGGAGCACAGAGGGCGACGTACTTTACCACGAACACGCGAGGTCCGGGGCCTAAGAGTGCCGAAACGCAGCGCGGGATCCCGCGGCCCTTGCCGCCCACACTGGGAAGGAGAGCGGCAGTCTAGCTCCAGCCAGCCAGGCCTCCAGACCCGGCCTGGGGGCGGAGTCTGAGGGCGGTGGCGTGCGCTGGGCGGGCCGGGGGGCGGGCCGACGGGAGGGGGCGCGGGTGCGCAGCAGGGTCTCAAAGGCTGAGGCGCCGGCCGCCCTGAGGCCCGGAGCGAGGCTGCCCCAGCGCCGCACCATGGACTCGCGACCCGAGGAGTATGAGCTCAATGGCGACGTGCGCCCGGGCTCGCTTGGCTCCCCGGACGCCTCGGTAAGCACCCCTACCCCCGTGGCGCTCTGCGACCTTGGCCGATGCCCGCCCTCTCTGAGCCCGGCGCCAGCGGCCCCTAGGGACCTATGGGCGCCGACCAGCTGCGCGCCGCGTCCTTAATGAGGGTGGCGGTGGTCGCCACGCCCCGTGCGTTCCGCCCCCTACCCGCGCGGTCGGGGGCCCTAGCGGTGGCCCTGGGGCTCCAGCCACCCCGGAAAGTGAGCGGGGGCGGGCGCGGTTGGCAAAATGCCGGACGTGGCCCGGGGCAGGTAGCGCCCACACCGAGCTGCACAGCCGAGGGGCCTGGGCGCCACCTTCCCTCCTCCCCCCGCCACTTCCCGCGGGCCCCTGCGTTCCCGGCTCCCACACCACACTCCAACTTTGCCTCTCCGCCGGCTCGATGCGCGCCCGGACTGGGCGGAGTGGATCTCGGCTTCTGGGCCCCAGGCCAGCAGCGGGCAGACAGTTACGTCACCCACGGTGTCCACGGAGACCGCACAATCTTGTGCGTGCCCTGATGGGGAACTTGGTGCCGCTGTGGCCCCCTCTCCTCTCTCCACCCGCACGAGAGGCTCTATTCAGAGCCTGCCCTGCTGGCCTGGAAGCACTGTGGGCATGGGGCAGGCCCTGGCAGGGGTCCCATATTACAGCTGGTACCCTCCTACCCTGGGGTCCTGTCCCACTGGCAGGGCCAGAGTAGCGGTTCCTAACTGGCTTTGCCTTGGACTAGCACTTCCCCAGGGCCTCTGTTTATGGCGCAGTCCTGAGCACCGCCCTCCCAACTTGTTGACTTTGGACATTCTTTCAGTTTCTGACCCCCTGGGGATGGGGGTAGGGACGGTGGCCACGTGCGCCTGACTGAGGCAGAGACCGGCCCTGCTCAGGTGTGGGTGACCAGTCCTAGGCGATGTTGTAGTAACAGGCCACGTTTAGGGGATGGGGGGAGAACATGTGGGGCAAGCAAGGCCTTGGACTGGGGAACGGGCCCTCAGCAGGCAGGATGGGTGTGCTCAGGGATCACTGCGTTCATTGGCTTTGGGACCAGTTGCAGTTGCTGCAGCCCTGTACCACTCAGTCTGAGAGCTGAGACCGGTCCAGACGGAGAAGCCACGGCCAAAGTACTCAACTCCCCGGGGTTGGTTCTGAAGGCAGGTGGGAGTGGGGTCAGGAAGGCTTCCTGACCAGTGGGGACATTGGCACTGGAATGGGGTACAGGTATGCCTGGGAAGGGCATCCCATCCCTGGAGGTCGTATGGGAGGTCAGACCTTGCCAGCTATGGAGGCCATGGAGGGGCTGGAAGCTCATGTGATAGTGAACACATTCTTCCAGGGTGGCTCCAGTCACAGGCAGGGAGGCTCTGGGAGAGATGGTCAGTACTGAAGGCTGCTCTGCTCACCCTGCCTGGGGCCCAGGCCCACCCAACACTGCTCTCCAGCCTCCGCCTTCCCCTTCCCACCCTCAGGACCTGCCTCACTGTGTTCTTGAGCACATCACTCTGTCTCAGTTTCTCATTTGTGAAATGGGGTGAGAGTAGTACCTCCCTCAGAGGGTTATGGTGAGGATTAAATGGGCTAATGCGTGTGAAGTGCTGTAGGAAACTGGGCACACAGCATTGTTAACATTCCTGCCTGCCACACAAGACCCTCTCCCAAAGATGAAGCCCAGGCAGGGTTTGGTAAGGGCAGCACCTTCCCTCAGGTGCAATCCCTGTGGACAGGCATGGCCCTCCCCCTGCACCTCACCTGGCTTTTCCACAGCCTTCTCTCCTGGCGGTCCCTGCCTGAACCTGAGCCCCAAGCTCCTGCTTGAGGAGGGGTAGAAAGGCTTGCTGGGAGGAGGGGCAAACCCCAGGATCTTCAGATGTGTCCCCACTTAAGCAAGAACCCCAGACAGCAGGGTGTGTGGGCTGGGTCACCACTATGTCCTTGGCTGCAAGAGGACTGAGTGGGAGACCCAGGCCCAGAGCCCCCATCAGTCTCGAGACGCCCTGCCATGCGGCCTTGGGCAAGTGCAGACCCTCTCTGAACCTCAGTTTCCTCCTCTGTGAAGTGGGGCAGGATCACTCACCTCCCAGGGTGGCTGGGCTCAGGGAAGAGTTATATGTGTAATCCATGGGCAGATGAGCCCTGTCGGGCCAGGGTGGTGGGGGAGCTCTGCAGATGTCCCCCTCCACGTGCCCCATATCCCTATGGCCTCCACACAAGGCCCGTCCGCTCAGATGCCCCGCAGGAGTGAGTTGGAGTCTTCACTAAGTCAACTCACTTTCGGCTGGCAGCAGCAGGAATAGTAAACATCAATTTTATTGTGAAAATAAATGTGGTCCTTGACTGTGTCATGCCCGGGGATTTATCTCAGGGGGCAGCTGCGTTGGACCCTGCAGCAGACTCTGGGACCACAGCCAGCTGAGGACACAGCAGGGAGGTGGCAGGACAGGGTGCAGTGAGGCTCCTGGGGCCACATTTGGGCTTGGAAGCCAAGTCCTGGGAGGGAGGGGTACGTGCACAGCCTCAGCTGCTGGGGGAAGTTTGCTCCTTTTCTCTTAAACTTTTTTTTTGGCTGCGCTGCACGACATATGGGATCTTAGTTCCCCGACCAGGGATCGAACCCATACCCCCTGCATTGGAAGCATGGAGTTTTAGCCGCTGGACCTCCAGGGAAGTCCCAAGTTTGCTCTTTTTCTCATTTCTGCTCTCCTGGCAGATCCCGAGGCTGGTGGGGTCTTGGCCATGTTCCAAAAGGCAGCCCTGACGTGGCTGCGGGGTTACTGCTAGCCATTGCTGAGTCCACAGGAAGCGGGACTGCCCAACCCAGCCCAGCTGCAGCAGGGAACCCCCCGCCCCCACCCCAGGAAACTTCCTGCCATGCACTCAGACATGGAGCAAGAGACATCTCGGGGCTGGCTGGGTGCGGACGCTATGGGGACAGTGCAGGAGTAAGCCAGTGTGACCTGGAGCAGGTGACTTCATGCTGAGTCCGGGTGGTGGCCACAATAACAGCTATGCCCCGCACTAGTGGGTCAGACAAGGGACACCCCAGGCCCCAACAGATCCTACTCAGTCAGTTCTTTGGTCCCAGCCAGAGGCAAGGACGCCAGAGCCCGCACATCCACTGTTGCCCACTGAGCCCAAGGGGAGGGGCCTTATGCAGAAGTGGCTGCGATAGCCCAGCATCTGGAGCTGGACCTCCAGTACACGCTGGGTCTCACTCAGCTCATGCATTTTCTGGGGCTAGTACTTTCTCTTCCTTGTTATGGATTTTTTAAGTGGAATTAATTACAAATTGGTACAGTTCATTTTGGAGGCAACCTTTCAAAGTGGTGAAGCCTGGGTGGTGAGGAAGAGGAACATCCAGTCCTGCCCTGCACCAGCTGTGCTCTGACCAGCCACTGGACCTCTGAGCCCTTCATTCACTCCCCTTTATGTGCCCATTTTATAGATGAGGAAACTGAGGCACAGACCTGTCATTCTGTTGGTCCATGGTGTGGCAGGATATGGAGATGATAAAGGATAGGTGCTGATGGAAGGCCCACACCCCAGCTCCTCCCAGGGTAGCTGATGAACCTCATAGATTTATTGGGGGCTTGGTTCTACAGATATGAAATTGGTCTCTGGGAGCGTGGGCAGGAATTCCCATGTGGGCTCCTTGTTCCATACTTGTACATGGGGCTTGGAGTCAGTGGCAGAATTGGGGCAGGCAGGATTGGAGGAAGTCCATAACCAAAACCCTGAGGGGTCCTGCAGGGGTTCAGTGGGCCACGGCCCTGGCCTGCCCTTGTCTCCCAGGGGAGCAGAGAGTGTACAGGCAGGAGGCTGGGGGTGGGCCAGACCTCCTGGGCCCAGCTGTAGGCCATGGGCAGCCCATCCAAGCCCAGGGTGGACTGGAGGATGCATTGTGCTGAAACTGGGTTCTCTGAGTACCACAGACCTGCTTTGAATCCTGCTTCTGTCCCAACTCCCCTCCCTGTCCAAGCTGAGGTTGCCCAGCAGTGTGACCCTGGGCCAGGTGGCCTGGGTCCCTGCAAGCTGCCTACCAATGGCTGGGATGAGACCCTCTGTCCACAGAAAGTGGGCTCAAGGAGCCAGCCCTGTGGGCATCTGCCGAAGTCAGCTCCCTCCCCACAGGCTCCTTCCTGGCTTTTAGGGGAAAAAGTCTGGCAGCCCCAAGCTTACTCAGCTTCTGGGATGCCGTTGAGGTTTCAGGGAAGTCCTCTTGGCCCTAGGGACACATTAAACTGGGTATTTGTTCCCTGCACTGCCCAGGTCATGGGCAGGGGTCTCGGTGAGAGGGTCCCAGCATGGCTTCTGGCAGCTGGGTGGGCAGGTGGCCTGTCCAGGCCCATAGAGCTCCGCACCTGTGAGAGGTGGGCTCTGACCGCCCCCCCCAGCCCCAGTGACCTTCTCAAGATAGCAGCCTCCCTGGGATTCACCTGTGCAGCAGTCACCTCCAGGGCCCAGAGCTCCCTCCACAGCTCAAAGCCCCTCCGCAGAAGGCCTAGGACACAAGGTCAGGCATGGGAGAAGCGGATCAGCCCTGCAGCCTCCTCCCCACCCAAGCCCCTACCACACAAACCTCCTGGGCTCTCTGACCAGGGTGGACATGAAGCTGTGCCATGTCCTGCGTGGCCCTAAGCTTTGAGGTGGATAGGCTGGTTCAAATTCTGATCTGCCCCTCCCTCACAGTAGCCCTGGGTGAGCCCCCCTGAGCCTTAGTCTCCCACTCTATAGAATGGGAGAACAGTGCTCTTTCTCAGTGTTAGTGGGGGCACTTGGTAGGTTGTAGAGCTTCCCAGACTGTGGCCTGGGGTGTACAAATGGGGAAACTGAGGCCCAGTGAGGGGAAGCGTGTTGTCAAGGCTACACTGCCAGGCTATAGTGAGCTGGGGCTTGACCAGAGCTCCCCCCACCAGCCCCCCGGCCTGCAGCCTCTGGCCAGCGCTCCTTATCACTGCACAGGTTGAACAGGAAGCAGATGGCCGTATGGGCAGGAAGTGCCCTGTATCATGAGGGGCACATGGCCTGGGGCCCTTGCTTCCTAACTGGGACCCTGAGACAGTGGCCAGACCCCCCAGAACCTCCTGGCATGTTTGCTCCGTGGCCCTGTTGCACACATGGGAGACTGAACCCCAGAGGGGCCTGGCTGTCCTGAGGTCACTCAGCTAGAGCCAGGGGCTGGGGACTTCTGAGCACTCAGGCTCACAGATGACCCAGACCCCAGACCCCCACTGCAGGCCCCAAGGGGACTGTCGTGTCAGCTCTCAGGGCTTCTGAGCCCTGGGACCTGGGTTCAAATCCCAGTGCAACCCTCACTTGCTATTGGCTTTGGACAAGGTTCCTCCCCATATAGCCTCAGTTTACCCTCGGTAAGTGGGGCATGAGGACAGGGGGACTCCCTGGAGGAAAGCACCTAGCTAAAGGGTGAGTAAGATGATGGGCTGTGCCCTGGGCACCCAAGATGGAGGACAGCGGGGCACAGGCGCCCTGTGCTGGGGGCACTGCTGCTGATGGTGTCATTCTGTATTTGAATGTGCACGTGGCTGCATGGGCATAAAATATTTCAACAGTTCAAGAGAGCTCAGAATAAAAAGGAATTCTCCCTCCTCCTCAGAAGCCTCCACAGTTAGCCTGGATGTGTACATATGTGTGTGTATGTGTGTTTGTTAATGCATATATACATATGTATTGTATATGTGTGTATACATGTTATGTATACATGCGTCTGCATGTGTGCTCACCTGTGTTTGTGCATGTGTACTGTGTATACATGTTTGTGTGTGCTTACACACATATGTATTGTGCTTGTGTGTAGATGTGTATTGGGTACTTACGTGTGTGTGGAAGACATTTTGGCACTTCTGGTTTATGAAACATAGGGGCACATGGCCAGCGGGCCAGTGTCTCCAGGATGCCCACACCCAGAGGAGCACACAAATGGTGAAGCATGGCCAGATGGGCCGCTTTGCAAGAGCAGAGCTGGGAGACAGCCTGGTGCTTTTGCGGGGGAGGGCACAGACCCTGGGGAGGAGTGGTGTGCCTTGGGTGTTCTTGGTCTAGGGGTGTGGCCCACCCAGATGTGAGTGCAGCTGTAGGCCTGGCATGGAGAGGCAAAGGGGAGAGTTGAAGAAAGAAAGAGGAGACCTCAGGCTGCACATGGAATTTCCCAAAGAGCAGGCCAGGGCCCTGGGTCCAGTGGAGGAGGCTTTCCCTGGGGGCTCTTGGGTCTAGAATTTTAAACCAAGTAGATTTGCTACTTAAGAACAACTGACACTGAGGGAAAGCAGGACATAGCAGAGCCGCCTACGTTCCTGTCCTCCCTCCTGGGCATGTTATTCTAGATTAACTTTAAAAGACATAATGTAAAAATGAAGATCCCACCCTTCTGTAGTTCTGTGAAATATGTCCAGCTGCAGAAAGTAGAGGCTTGCCCTCCCCAGAACCCCCACCTCCCATCCCTGCCTCTTCCATGACTCTAGAAACAAGATCTGAATGGCCCCAGGAGGCCTAGTGGCTCAGGGATTCCTGTGGACAAGCGGCCAGGGCTGAGGGGTACAGATTTGTCCTGGGAGGTTGGGGAGGGGCCTGGCCAGGGGCAGCTTGAGGAGAGCAGAGGGGCTGGATACAAAGAGGAGGCCTGGCTTCAAGTGAAACAGCCGCCCCAAGAGGTAAACTCCAGTCCTGGGAGGGGTCTTTGTGGCCTGGACTCCAGCCTCGGAGGCAGACCTTCTCCTGCCTAACTACCCTCCCCACTCCTGCCCTGGGACAGAAGAGCCTATCCTACAGGGGGAGTCAGCTCTGGGTGGGGCCCTGGGGCATGGAGGGCCCTTGGGAGGGACAGGGGCCCTGGCCTTGAGGACTGGGGATGTTCTCAGGCAGAAGTGAGGGAAGTTATCAGAACTTGTGTTCCTGTTTTATCAACGTGAACATGAAGGCAGAATGAGCCCTGGAGATCCACTGTGCAGCATGTCGTGACCAGTACAGCACTCTAAGGGTGATATTAGTATTATCACAAATACTAATAATAAAGGGTCAGGAGAAGACTCTGGATGTGTGGTGGCCTGGATGTGGTGATGGTGTCACGGTACACACTTAGCTCCAAACTCTTCAAGTTGTTCACGTTTATTATGTACAGTTTTTGTGTGTCAATCACACCTCAGTAAAGTGGTTTTAAAAATTTTTTTAATAAAAATTAAGGAAGAAGCTAAGCTCAGTTGCATTGTAGAATGCTGAGGCATCTGTTGAGCACCTGCTGTGTACCTGCACAGCTGGGAGATGGCCTGGGTGGATCGGCCGTCCCAGGAAGACTTGTTTCAGGTCTGGGCGAGTATGCAGGGATCTGGAATCCAGATGCCGTCATGTCACTTCCCGCCCTGGCACCAGTCACCTCCTGGAGAGGAGGGCAGGCAGGGGCATGCAGGGAAGGCTGCCAGACAGCCCCGCCCATGGCAGGCAGACAGTTGGCGGCATTTTCCCATCTAAAACCAGAGTGTGTGCTAAGGTTGTGTTTTGTTTCCTTTCTCTTCCAGGACTTGATTCCTAGGGTGGGTCTTGCAGGGGCTGCACAGCCTTCTCTGGGCCTCTTGTTCTATTAATAAGCACTTCCCTTTCGAGCCCTTATCTGGGCCCTCACCTGCTGATCCGGTCAACCCCCACATCCCTGGGAAGGAGACCAGGCTCAAAGGGGGGGACACCAGGGTGGGCCCAGGCCTGCAGCCCCCTGCCGCAGAGCCCAGGCTGACCGCCCCCCTCCCTGCAGCCACCCCGCTGGGGCAGGAACCAGCCCATCAACATGAACCATTATGCCAATAAGAAGAGTGCGGCCGAGAGCATGCTGGACATCGCACTGCTGTTGGCCAACGCCTCCCAGCTGAAGGCTGTCATCGAGCAGGGCCCTGGATTCGCCTTCTTCATCCCCCTGGTGGTCCTCATCTCTGTCTCCCTCATGCTGCAGATCGGTGTGGGCGTGCTGCTCATCTTCCTTGGTGCGTGCCTGGGCAGGGGGCCCCAGCAGTGGGAGGGCCCTGGGGTACCCCTGCCCCACGGTCAGCTGATTCTGCCTGCACGCACCTTGGGATGCGTCACTTACCCCACTGAGTGTTTTCCAGGCCCTCACAGAGCCGCACGGGAGCCCTGGCCCTTCTCACTAGGCACGTGGTCCAAAATGTAGCTCCCACCGTGGCCCGCAGAGGGACCCCATGTCTCCATCTTTCCACTCACCCAAGCTGAGGACACAGGAGAATGTCATAACTGTGCTAAGAGTTGATATGTACTGGGCACCTACTGTGTACCCTCTAGACCTTATGGCGGTCCGTAGGGACTAGGTGGTAGTCCTGCCCCCAAGGTGAGGGTCAGGGCTAAGAGCAGCAAGAGCTTTGGGCTCCCCACAACCGCTGCCTGGCTGTGTGACCTCAGGCAGGTTACACGACCTCTTGGACCTCTGTTTCCTTGCCTAGAAAGTGGACATAAGGACAGCCTTGGGTAGGTGTGAGGATGGCTAGATTATCATGCACCAGCACTCAGAAAGGTGCTTGCCTGTGCACATTGTGCCTTAAAATCCAAGCCTGGGCCTTGGGCCTCCATGCCTTCCACTTCGTGACCAGGCACCAGGCCCCTCTGAGCTTCTGTTCACTGAACAAGGGGGAATGCAGTGGTCAGGCCACAGATACCAGACTGCCCAGGCCAGAGCCCATTGTCTGTAATGTATTAAGGCAGCCATGTCTCTCTCTGGGGGACAGAAGAGGGCCCCTTGGTGTTGCACAGCCCTGGGCAGTGTCTGCTCCCTCTCGCCCACAGTCAGGTATGACCTCAACAACCCTGCCAAGCATGCCAAGCTGGACTTCCTCAACAATCTGGCCACTGGCCTGGTCTTCATCATCGTCGTGGTCAACATCTTCATCACTGCCTTTGGCGTCCAGAAGCCCACGATGGACACGGCACCCCGGCAGTAGGGGTTCGGGTGAGCTGTCAGGGCCGGCCCCGGCAGGGTCTACACGTGCCTCCACCACGAGCCCACCCACTCACCCCACTGGGTCACCGACCCAGCGTGGGGGACTCAGGGTCTTTCATGCAGAGCCCCTGTGACTGCATCTGCCCTCACCTGGGCCTTGCAGGGTGGGCGCCCCTGGCCGTGTGCAACCCCACACCACACTCAGCCCACTGTCCTCGCTCAGAGAGACCCAGCGCCTGCCGAGGGTCACCCCACTTGGGAGCAGGAGCCACAAGGGAGTGGAGTGACCCTCATAACACACTCAGCAAGCCCCTACTATAGGGCCTCAGACACAGGCAACCCTGATTGTTATGAGGGCAGATGCAGAAGGTCAGTGGGTCTGGCATGTGTCATGTGTCCAGAGTCTGGAGCCCTGGCCAGGGCTGCACAACACAGGTCCACCCACCCTTGGGTCCAGCAGTCCTCGGGCCTGCCCCAGAGGAGAGGTGGGTGCCACAAACAGACAACTGTCCATCCACTAGCACAGCAGAGTGGACAGGAGACTGTCCCTACACAGCAAGCACCTATGTGTCAGGGGCATACTAGAAAACCTTACACATTGAGCAAGTAGACAATGCCGTAAGATGCTGGGAGCAGGGCCTTTGTGTGGCCCCATTGTGAGCATCTGGCCTCCACTTGCCCATGCCATTGCTATTGGCCCCACCAATAGCATCCGATTCACTGCCCAGCTGCTGGTACCAGTTTGTTGTTAAGTCTGTCCCCCGTGGAGGCCTCTGGATGCCAGCCTGCTCCCTCACTCATTGCATGATGACTGGGCCACTTATTAGTCACCTGCTTGTGTGCCCCAGACACAGTCCTGACTCTCCCCAAGCACCAGCCTGGCAAGGAGCCCTTGTGGGCCCCACGGCACATGTCCACCCGCCGGCCCATGCTCTCAGAGGGCCCCTATCAGAGTGTGCTGGGACCAGGCTTTTAAATCCTGACAGTGACCCAGAAGGGGAAACTGGGGCTCTCCCAGGTCAGAATTGGGCTGTCTGATTCCGGAGTCGGAGTGACCCCAACATTTGTGGGCTGGTTGCCAGACACAATACTGAGGCAGGGTCACCAGAACAGAACTGGAGGCCCCTCTGGCCTTGGCGACCCTCATGCCTCTCCTCTCCCTTCTTTGCAGATGCCCCCGGATCGTGCCTGGCCGCAGCTGCCTAAACCCAGGAGGCGCCTTGCCCTTGAGGCCCACCCTCCTGTGCGCGCATTCCCCCGGACCGCCATAGCCCAGGCTGGCCCCGCTGGACTGCATCCAAGCAAGCCACACACGGTCAGGCCGCTCGGGCCAGCACAGGGCCTGCCCCATCCTCAGCCGCTCCTCCTCCTGGGGCATGGCGCGGTGAGGCCAAGAAGACAGGACTGTAGAGTCTTCAGCAAGGGCCGTCGCTGCCGTGGACACACAGCAGGCCCAAGGATGGGGGGCAAGAGGCTGGCGCCGCCTCAGGACATTTCCAGAGGGATGAGGAGGCGCCTGCCCTCTGCCAGTGCAGCAGTGTCCTGGCCTTGTGTGCTGCCCACCCTGAGTGACCCATGACCTCTGCACTTCCTGACCCAGGACCGTAGACCACCAGCGACCCTGTGGGACCCCCACCGTGGCCACTGACTCAGGCCTCACACCCTCTACCAGCAGTGACTCGGCAGGGCCCTACCCCTCCTTGGCGGTCTGAGCCCCCACTTTTCTAAGTACAAGTAACCAGTAAAGCTGATGCTCCTCCTCGTGTGGCTCCCAGTGCCATCCTCCCCTCCCCCAGGCCTGGGTGCTGTGCACCGTGCCCCTCAGAGCACCAGCCTGTGCAGCCCTCCTCTCTCTCTCCCCACAAGCCTGTGAACTTTGTGGGGAGCAGCCTCTGTTGGCATCTCCAGACATCACCCCCATGTGTCCTCGGGGACTGGTGACCCCTGACCAGACCCTCATGGAAAGTTCCAGCACTCCCACATTTCCTGCAGTTTGCATGCCCACACAGGTCCCTTCTGCACCCACAGTACTGGCTCACCTTGTGGTGGTGCGGGGCACTGCTGGTCAATCAGGCCGAGGGGACTGAGGAGAGTGGGGCTGGTGCTGAGCAAGCCCCGACCCTGCGGAGGCACCAACAAGGGCCAGGTGCTGTCTCGGGGGGACCTTGGGGCCACATCGCACCTGGCTGGGCCTCCAGCTCCCTCCGTCCACCCTGTGGCCTCTAGGGCCTGAGCCCTCACTCTCTGCCCCCTTGTCGCCTCCTCTCTGACTCCTGCTGGCCCCACCCCTCATCTCCTGGAGGCAGCAATGCTCTTACTTGGTCCTCCCTAGGTGAGATACCTGAGAATCCCCTCCAAGCAACTGGAGCCCCGGGTGGGGATGCAGCCCCCAGGAGCTCCCAAGGCCCCTCCCCCATCACTTCTCTTGCCCTCTCCACTCTGAGCCTGGGGCAGCTCCAACACCTTGTTCCCTTAAGACATTCAGGTGACCCCACAGACTCTTCCGTGGGGCTGAAAATTCAACTCTGCACAAAGTGATTGACAAACAGGGGTGCTTCTGGGTGAGGTGATCTAATCCTGGGCTTTACTTTAAATAAATAATCCAGGAAAAAACAGGGAAATGGATGAAATAAGATTGAAAGTGCTAGTGGCTGCAGAGCTGGGGCCACGGGGCCAGCTCTCTGCTCTTCTGAGTGTCTGAATGTCCCATAAAGACGGTTTTTAAAGGTGATCCACATATGGGATGAGGTCCATGAAGAAGCAAGACCAGCAGGTAGGCAGTGGGTGGACACATTTCCCAGAGGATCCAATGAACCTGGGGCCACCCCAGCCAGAGGGGTCAGATGCAGAGCTGTGCAGGTGGCTGGGCCCTGGGAGCAAGTGGTACAGAGGACCACCTCTCCTGCCGCTCACTATGAGCACATCTTACCTTGGCTGTCTTGTTATTGCCAGGAAGCAGCAGAGGTCAGGCTCCTGGCTGTGAACCTTCCCTACCACCTGGCCCTCATGGTGGGTCCAGGATGGTGTCCGGGCCCATGCCCCCAGGTCCAGCCCTGCCCAGGGCCCAGCACAAGTGGATGCTGCCCAGCACCACGTGCCTGGTATAGCCTGAAGCAGTCTGTGGCTTGTGGTGTGGGCTGGCTGGCAGCCACACCAGACGGATGCCAGCCTGTGTGGACCATGGACGTGGCCAACAGATGGCCTAGTTCCTCCTTTGGCCAGGACAGGAAGCTGGCCCAGATGTGGCCAGAGAGGTTAAGCCCCAGATGGCTGGACTGGGTCCCAGGTCACCAAGCCAGGCTGGCCTTCACGGGTGCTAGGGGCATTGGGGACAGGGCATGACAGTGGGTGGGTCTGTGCATCCCAGCCCCCTACAGCCCCTACCCCAGCTGCTCCCCCAACAGGTACACATGACTGCCCCCCCACCTGCCCACCCACCAGCACTCAGGCTCATGCCTCTACAGTTCCGGCCCCCTGACCCTCACTCCAGATGTATTCCTGTCTTAGGTCCATGGCACGTGCTGCTGCTCTCTAGGGTCAGGGCTGTGCCCTGAGGTCTTCCCCACTGGCCCTCCTGACCACCACTGCTGGTCACTGTCATGGTGGGCCATTTGGGTTTACTCTGCCTTTGGTGCCATTGGCTAGCGTCACTGCCCACAGTGTCCCCCTGGGGCCCATATCTGAGCCCTGACTACCCCTGCGCCGTCTGGCCCAAGACCAGGGCTGCTCCCTGAGAAGGAGGGTCCTGCCCACCATCTCCCTGAAGGCTGAGGGAGCTCTGCCTGAGCTGGGGGAGGAGGTGGACCCCTACTCATACTTGCACTTCTATTTGGTCTGACCTGGCTCTCCCACTGCCTGCAACCACCCAAAGCCTATGTCCCCAGCACTGTGTCTGACGCACAGCAGGTACTTAGTAAACATCTGTAATAGATGCACTCCCCCTCGAGTTCCGAGCCCTGCGCATGCGTCACAGTGGCCAAGGGAGGGACAGAAAACCGAGGCCCAGAGAGCGAGTCAGGGCCAAGCCAGACCCAGGGGGGTGTGACAACCCTCAGGGAGTCCTCTGACACCCTAACACATCCACGGCTTGTTAACTACCCCCTCTGCCCTACCATGCAGCTGCCCCACCCGGGGACACTTCTCTGCCCTCCCTGGGGATGGCAGAGACCCTTAAGGAGTAAGAAGCAAGGAAACATACGTGCCAAGTTGGGGGACTCCACAGAGGGACACACGGGGAAGTCAAGAGCCGGGGAGCTCTCAAGACCGATGCTCTGGGACCCGGGACTGGGAGGGAGCCCCAGGAAAAGACAGGCTGTGGTGCACGAGCCCTGAGGCCACATGAGCTGGGGCTGGCCTTGAAGGAGTGTGGGGTGGTCAGTGCAGGGGAGGGGGCAGTCATGCAGAGCTTGTTGAGCAAGCTCTGGGGGGACTGTGTGCTTAACCCTCTTACTGTAAAAGATAGATGATGACTGATGGACGGATGGATGACAAAAGGATGATAGATTGATGGACAGATGGATAGATGATAGATAGATAGATAGATAGATAGATAGACAGATAGATGATAGATAGGGGTAGGGATAGATGAGTCATCCCCAGGTCACCCCTGGCAGAGTCACCAGATGAGGAAGTAGCTCTGTGCCAGTGGAAGCCCAAACAGGACCCCTCTGTCCCTCCGGGAACCCTTGTTCTTGTCTCATTTCTCATGTCCCCTGCATGTGTCCAAGGACACCACAGTTTATTCCTGCCTGGCTCAAACCCTGGGAGTATTCTAGGTCCATTTCACTCTACAGGTTCTCCTTCCCTGACTCTCCATCCCCACTGTCCACCCTTCAAGGCCATGGCCCACTTGACCTGGGTGGGGGGGAGGACAGGGTAAGTCAGGGAGCTCTGAGGAAGGTAGGCCAGGATGGGATGGGGGCCAGTGGACCAAGAAGGTGGACTTTTGCTGCAGGATTGGGTCATTCCTCCTTCCCACACCTGCCACACCCACCTACCCATTTCCCTCCCCTCTCTCTCAGGCACCTTCTCTCCCACCTGCCTTTAATTGAACTTAGTTTCTCTTTTCTCACCACATTATTTATAAAAATCAAGGAGCTGAATGTTTTAACATTTTTCTTCCCTTTCTCTCAAGTATTTATTTCATGGGAAACTAAGATAAGCTGCTGGACCTGTGTGTGGCCCAGGGGAGATGCCCTATGGCAGCAATGCCCCCTAGGCCCTGCCCCAGCCCTTGGTGTCCTCAGAGGAGAAATGGGGCTCCAGTCCCGCCTCCAGGTGGAATAAGAATTGAGGTCCCAGCTGCCACGTGGCCAGCGATGAGGAAGGTCCCCTGCTCTGTGCTCCCAAATCCCCATCCAGTCTACAAGACTGGGGTCCCAGAGCCCATACAGCAGGGACCCGACCCAGCGCTTGGTCAGGCCTGGGGTTTATGCAGAGGTTTGGGGGCACAGGGTGAGCAGTATCTTCTCTGAGATAGACCACAGAGCACTGACCTGGCGGGAACTGGATATAACAACCCCGGATTCCAACAGTGTCAGCACCCACACCTGAACCCTGTGCCCTCTCCCCAGAGGGAAACCCTGCATTGTGCAAATTGCAGTTGCATTTCTGGTTCTGCAAACACCAGCCTGTGACCTCACCCGGCCTGAACCACATCACTCTGGCAAGAGTATCTAGGGCCCTAACTCCCTCCATCACAGGTCCACTACTCTTCACACACACACCTCCTTCTTCACAGACACACTTCTCCCAAATGCCCGCATCACTTCCGTCCCTCCCATACTCCTCACACCCTCCCTCATTCCTCTCCCTACACATGGGGGTTCTTCCCCACCCCAGGCAGACTGGAGATGGGACAGTCATCCCAGCACTGTGATAGCCAGGATGAGGAACTACTCTTTTCTTACTAGAGTTTTTGGGGGACTTTCCTGATGGAGATGGCATTTTACCAAAGACCCAGGTTGAGTAGATGGGGGGTGGAGGGCGGATGGTTAGTAAAGAGTGTTCCTGCTGAGGGAATAGCATGTGCAAAGGTGCAGAGGCATGGATCATGGGCCGTTCCAGTTGTTGAGGTATGGAGGTGGGGACGGGGGACAGAGGGTCAGGGGGCCAGCGGGGGAGACTGTGGCCCATGGTGCCTTTCACACCCTGATGGACTTAATTCATTCCAGGTCATGGTCACTGACAAGGTGGTTGGCAGGGCATGGCCTCACGCGGGGAGGTACTGTGCCTAGACATGGATGCCCCATTGTTCTACCTCCCTCAGTCCCAGCCCAGGAGTGGAGGCATTATATGGCAGCAACCAGCCAGGGGCAGGCAGATGGCAGAGGGGCCTGGCTGCTGGTCTGGGCTGTTGTCGCAGACTTCAGCTGCAGGCACGGAGTCCAGGCACAGTCGGGGAAGGGGCCGTTGAGGTGGGGATCCACAGAAGGGTCCAGAACAGCCTGAGCTCGGGGGCTGATTTGGACCTCCAGGGCAAGGCCTTGGTAGGTCATGGATGGAAGCAGAAAGTCAGCAGTCACAAGAAGTAGCCCAGCTCGAGCCAAGGGAATAGGTGTCCTGGACTATCACAGCTCACCAGACGGGTCCTGAGACCTGGGACAGGCACTCACCGCCCCCCACTCAGGGGATGGAACCCTGCCACAGGGTCTCACAGGTCTTGGGGGGTGGACAGTACCCAGGACTTCCCTGCCATAGGCCTGCGGGGCCTGTCTCTGGGATGTTCCCTCAAAGGTGCTGTCTTAGTTCGGGGCTGCTATAACAAAGGCCACAGACTGGGTGCTGTATAAACATTTATTTCAGGGGGTTGGAAGGCTGAGATCAAGGCACTGGCTTATTCAGTGTTTGCTCTGCCTGCACCCTTCACACAGTGGCCTCATTTACTTTTACCCAGATGTCTCTATCACCTACAGTCAGGCGTCTGTCACCTTCACCCAGTAGTGCCCTTTACCTAGTTGTGTCTGTCACTTTCACCGGGCATGTGTCACTTTTACCCAAGCGTGTCTGTCAGAGAGCAGGACAAGCATCAAGAATACCCCAGGCGGGCTTCCCTGGTGGCGCAGTGGTTGAGAGTCTGCCTGCCGATGCAGGGGACACGGGTTCGTGCCCCGGTCCGGGAAGATCCCACATGCTGCGGGGCGGCTGGGCCCGTGAGCCATGGCTGCTGAGCCTGCGTGTCCGGAGCCTGTGCTCCGCAACGGGAGAGGCCACAGCAGTGAGAGGCCCGCGTACCGCAAGAAACAAAAACAAAAACCGAAAAACAAGAATACCCCAGGCATCTGCCCAGGAAGCAATTACCCTCAGAATCAGAATCCTGCTCGCTCACAATGGATGGAGGGGCTGCAGACTGGACAGGACATGCTGGGCTGGGCCTCAGGGGTCTGCTGACCTCGAGAACCCCTGCCACCTTCTGAGCTCAGAGTCCAGAGCAGGTGCAGGGACTAGTCCCCTGGTCTGGCTGGCCAATCGGGAAGGTGGCCTCCAGTGTCTCTGCAGCAATAAGAGCCAGTTTACATGGGGAACTGTCTGCAAGAGACCTGGAGTGCGGTGCACATTCACAGCCCTGAGGAGGCTGGAAGGGAGTGGGCACGTTCACAGCATCCCTAACCCTGGACCCTGAACAAGATCAAGAGGAACCTTCACGTGGTGCGCAGCCAGTGGGGAATCCGTTCAGCCCATTCAGCTCAGGGTGGCACCTGTGTCCTCCCCACTGAGCACAGACAACTGCACTCCTTGCACCCAACGGGAGTCTGTCCCAGAGAGAACATGCATTAGCTATGCCTTCCAGCAAAGTGGTAAATTCATGAAGCAATTTCCAGAGAACAGTACTTGGAACAGTGCTATCCAGCTCAGGATATCCATGCTCAAGGAGAGGTCCCAAGGTTGTGTCCCTTTTTACAGATGGGTAAACTAAGGCTCAGAATTTGGAGACACACACCCACAGCCTGCAGTGCAGAGGTGGAGGAGCGAGTGGGAAGCTGCACTGTCCCAGGCTTCAGGGCAGAAAGGAGAGCTCCTATGCCTGGCTCTCCCTTGCCCTGGCCCTCACTTTAATGGCTAGGCATGCAAATGAGTGAGCTAGCCCACGAGCTGGCTGAATGAATCAGCCAGAGACCATGTCCTGAAGCTGATTCCTCTGCCTCCCATCTTGTTTCCTTCCCACATGCTCTGAGAGACTAAAACCTGGGAGTGGAACCCCTCCTGGGGCCCCAATGGTAGCGTCATTCCTGGAGTCAGGCTGTGGGTTCCTCCGGAAACCCCCTATGGAAAATGCAAGCTCATGATGATTCTTGGGTTGACAAACATACTTCTGTTTCCCCAAAGAGGCTGGAGAGGGAGGAGCTGACAGGGTGCGGGCAATGGGGAGAGGAGCCCATCAGGGGCCAGGCCCAGGCCCTGGGAGCCCATGCCTAGTGCGGTGCACGTGTGTATCTGAGCACTGTGCACATGTACATGTGCACACTTTTCGTGTATGTGTGCACGTATGTTTGTATGCCTGTGTGTGCATGTGTACGTGTGTGGGGAGGGCACTCTTGGCAGCTGTGTGGTCCTGGGCTCTGAGCTTCCGCTCCCTCATCAGTAATGAGGGTGGTGACAGGGGTCCACATAAAAGACAGGTGCCAGACAACCACAGCCTGCAGGAGGGTAGTAGGCACTGGGGACGTGGCTCACAGGGCTCCCAGAGCCAAAGGCAGGGCACACTCTTGGACGTGTACACTCACCCTCTTGTGTCCACGAGGGACATTCCCATGACAAGATCCTGAGCCGGAGGCTGGCAGGTGAGACAAATAGGTACAAACACCCTGGTCAAGGGGACAGGCCCATGTCCCCAAGACAAATACAGGGGCTCAGCTCTGAGGACAAGGTGCTGGGTATGGCCAAACCCCAGGCTGTTGGGGGAGGGCGTGAGGAGCCAGAGCCCAAGACTTCAGATGGCACAATTACATTTTTCATCTCTAAAAGTTCTAGAAGTTTTTGTGGACTCTTTTTTTTCTGTCTCAACCTCCTCTCCACCTGGGATCAGGGACAAGACTTTGTGTTCATTTCTAGGCTCTGACCATATCTGTGTCAACTGAACCCTCCCCAGACCCGCCAAGCGCGGGTCATCACCTCCCAGGGGGAGGGGCTCCATTTCCAAGATAGTAGTAGTATGAGGGGCCTCGAGGGCCCAGGATCTGGGTGTTGGCTCTGGTGACTGGACAGAGACAAGGGGGATGATAGGGGAGGGGGTATCTCCTTGGGACATGTCACAGGAAGGGAATGAAGATGGTGGTGGAGCCCCTCATGCACTGGGTCCCCCCCTTTCCTGGCTGAGTGATCTCTCCTTTCAGTCTTAGATTCTTCATCAGGAAATCAGGGACAGCAGCCCACCTCCTGGGGCTGCTAAGAGGAATCAAATTAACACATGCTGGCACTAGGTATCATGAGGCATTTGGTTGGCGCCCCTCCATGGCCCAGGGCTCGGGTAACAGAGCAGCCCAGTCCGCCCTGTCCATCCTCATCCTCGCCACCTGAGGCTGAGGGCTGGGGAAGGAGGGAAGATGGGCAGGGGCAGGTGTGGGGACCAACACCACCCAGGCAGGGGATGGCAGGAGGGGTTCAAGGTAGGGAGTTCTGGAGAGAAGTAGTGGAAGGCGGCCAGGGAGGGAGGGAAGGGGAACACGTGGCAGGGGATATCTGGAGGTGGGCACTGGGGGACACAGCAGGGGTCATCTGGAGCAGGTAGCCCACATGGAGGGGTGAGGCCCAGGCCCACAGGGGTCTGAGAAGGCGGCCTGAGCAGGACCTGGGTCTTGGGTTGGACTCGGGAAGCCAAGAGCCCACAGGGTCAGCCCCAGTTACACATGCTGTCATGCCTTGTGTTGGAATCATCTAGAAAACACTCCTGAGAAAAGGAATAAGACTCAAACATTTAATATTGTTGAGCACCTTTGTACAGTGAAGGTAAAGTGCTTGTTACATAAGTTATACACAGTGAGAAATAAACACTTAGAAAAGCCAGCCAGCCCCAGGGCAGCAAGCAGCCAAGGTGGGCAGGGATGGGATCGGTCAGAGCCCCCCCAGGTCATCTGTGAGGAAGGCCAGCAGGAAGCGGCTGACGTGCCTGTCGACGATGACAGGGGAGAAGCCCAGGACACGCCTGGCCCCTGGCAGCACCTTGGGGTCTGGAAGACAAGGGGGTCTCAGAACCCATCGAGAATGCGCCTTCTCTCAGCCTCATGGCATCGCCAGCCCCACACCTGAGTGATGTGGGGTCCCCATGCCGAGTGGGCCTGCTTGGCACTGGCTCCCCACACAGGACCTCGACAAGGTCAGCATGGCAGGAAAGGAACCGCAGGACTGCCACGCTGGGCCACAAGTAGGGGGCCTCAGGTGTAGGCCTCCCTCCATCCGGCAGGGCTCTGCCCCATGGTCTGGAGAGGACTGGGCTGAGGCTTGGCCAGGCAGCACCCACCTGGGGGGCAGCAGTAGACGAGGAGTGCCAGCCCTGCGGCCAGGCCGAGACAGGTCAGGAAGGCCACGGGTCCTGGGGAGAAATGCACGTGAGCAGCTCCCCGAGCCCAGGAGGGCGGGAGGGGTCCAGAGGCCTCGAGGGACAGGCTCACACCCTGTGCGGGGGTCAGCTGGGCAGGGACACACCCAGTGAGCACCCTGAGGGGGTCTGTCCAACAGGAAGCCAGGAACGGAACCCGACTTGGAATGGAGAAGCCCCCAAGGCAGAGATGGAGCCTTGGGTGGGGGAACAGAGAGAAGGGACATGGGAGGCGGTTACCCCTGTCACTGAGCTCACGGCCTGCGGTGCCCGAGTCTAGCTCTGTGCAATCTGAGTTCTCTGGAAACAAAATCACAGGGTGCAGTTAGTCGTGGGTGGGCCAGAGGGTAAGGTGGTTGCCCCGCCCTCGGGAAACCAAGGGGGCTGTCGAGCCCCCTCCCCCAGACCACCCAGGCCCCTCAGGTTGTGCCGGTGCTAAGCCCTCCAGGCTGTGTTTGGGGGAAGTCAGCGCCAGGGAGGGAACCCTGCACAGTTTTGTGTCTTCTCCTTTTGTCCACTTCATGAGAACTTGAGGACCATGGAGTAGGGGGTTCATTGTTCCCTGGCAACCACAAGGCACCAAACACAGCGCAAACACCTGCCTGTCCAAAGTCTGATGATGTTGATGTGAGGCCAGGGCGCTCCTTCTCTTTCCCCAGACCCCACTGGGGCTCCCCCTAACCAGCCAGCTGCCAGACAGCCCTGAGGGCACCCTGGTAGGTACTTGACTCCAGGCAGGCTGTGTGGTCCTGACCTGTGGTGACAGGACCGTCCCATGCTGGAGCTCAGGGCCCAGTCCTGCCAGCCTGTCCTTGGGGGCAGGGACACTAGCCCCAGGTCCAGCCGAGTGGCCTGAGGCGAGCCACCTCTTCCCTCCTGGCCTCCAGCCTCTCATCTGAGGACTGAGGGACAGTAGCCACTCCTCCTGGGGACCTGGGTGCAGAGGCCTCAGGACTGAGCTGCCATCCCCGCTTGTACCTTCCCTGCACCCAACCTGGCAGCTCAGAGGACCCCTCGGGGCTCACAAGCCTCCCGGGCCCACAGGCCAGACCCTCTAAACCAAAACACATGTGTCTTGGACCAGCCATCTGTGTCAGAAACTGTTCTACAGAAACAGCCATGCCATGAGGATCTACCTGGGCGAAAGTGGACGCAACCTGCGTCGTGGGGGTTGGGGGGGTCAGTTCACTCAAGGCTGGTACAGTCTACAGCCGTGAGCTATTTCTGATCAGAAGCGTAAGGGTTCCCAGATTCATTAGATTACAGAGGGAAGGGCAGAGCTGCATGCAAGAGATGCTACCTTTTGTGTAAAAACTGGCACAAGAAAAAGGGAGACAGAGGGACAGAGAGACAGAGAGAGGGAGACGTGGAGACAGAAACATCTATATTGTCTGAAATACTCTGAGGGCCACACAAGATGCAACCAGAGGGCAGTCTCTGGTGAAGGGCTGAACAAGAAGATGCCGAGGCCTGGGGACTGGAACACGCACTTACGCAGGGCGTGCCGGCTGGGCAGGCAGCTGTGCAGGGGCTGGGCATGGATGTACAGGGCCCGGTAGAACTCCTGGCAGTCCCGCTCACCGCTCCGCTGCAGGTGGCCCAAGAGGTCGCAGAGACGCACTCGCAGAGATACCTTGGGGTTCCGGAACTGGAGGAGGAAGGGGCACAAGACAAGGTCAGGCTGGAGCACTCTGGGCTCAGCACCCAGCCCCAGCTTCCTCAATGGCTGTGATACCATCTAGGTGCTTGGAACATGCACGGGAAGGTAGCAATTGCTACCACAGCCTCATGCACTCCCATGTGGCACCCAAGACTGTGCTGCATGGCCACTAAGCCTTGCACTCCCACTGGAGGCCAGGACACGTCAGCAAGAAAGATGGCGGTGACATTATTCCAAGTGTGGAAACTTAGTGGCTTGCTGACTTGGTTTTCCCATTTGTAAAAAGGGAATAATAAACCCACATGGTAGGGTCATTATAGGGAATCTCTGAGGTAATGATAATTTCTAGTTTACACTCTACAGGAATGTGATTCAAGTTTTAAAAAATAAATCAAGGGTTAAGGAGAAAAAAAGGTGGCTTTTTTGATGTGGTTGACTGAAAAATATGTGGTTGTAAAGGTCAATGGACAGGGTACTTAGCATTGACCCCCAGAACCTGGAGGCCATGGCTCGGTGCTGCCACCTGGTGGTGGTGTACCATGCTACAAGGAACTAGAGTCAAACCACAAAGGTACAGAAACTGCAAAGCAAAGGCAGATAGATGTGCAGCAGAAGCCATGGGTACCTATGAGGAAAGGAACTGTAGTTTTGTGTGTGGAGGAGTTTCCTTTTTCTCATGTAAACAGCTGAGCTTTTCAAATTGTTTTTTTACAATGAATGTGTATTCGACTTTTAATTACAAGATATAAATTTGAGCCCCTACTTTTTAACTCACTGTACTACTTCTGTAACTTAAGAAGCATCTGGGCCAGTAGCAGGGTCCGTGTTGACTCTAGTTCTGTTGAGGATCAATCTCACCTGTCCCTAGGAGAGCCCCCAACCCTCCAAATAGCCCTGCACGTGAAACCGTTACCCTGTGCCAAGGCAGGAAGCTCAGGTCCAAGAGGAGAAGAGCTCGCTCAGTCACCCAGATGGGAGGCAGGTCCTGCACCCCAAAGCCCCGGCTGGTCTCTAGCACCCACCCCCAGCCCCACGGGGGAGCCAGAGAAGTGGGTGGGGCGAGCAAGGAGCACCCACTCTCACCAAGTGTCCCTGAATAGGATGGGCCAGATTACACCCAAACGTTTGCCCACTTTGAACTTTAGGAAGATTCAGAGTGAAGAGCCCTATGGCACTGGGTAGGGCCTGTCTGGTATCCCTGATCCCAGCACTCCCCCTGTTCCCCCTCCCAGGTTTGTCTCATGTTGTGGCATGTTATCACATGTCTCCTGTGATCCTCCCAGCATTTCTGGAAGGGGCCAGAAGGCCTGATGACATATAAAGAGACTAAGGCTCAAAGAGCTGATGTTCTGGGCCCAAGGTCACCCTAAGGAGACAGGTTTTCACCTCCAAGCTGTCCTGCCCCCCGCTTCTCCCAGCCCAGAGAGGAAAGGGATGGGAAAGCAGCCTCAGGTTCCTTGGCACCTTTTCTGCATCCTTGTTGCTGAGTATCTGGGGGTAGTAGCGGTTCAGCTGGAGGATAATCCTGTCCACCTGCTGCTCACTCAGGCGCCCAAGGCCTGTGAGGAAAGGCCTGTCCTGGGCCAGGCGGTCACAGTAGGTCTGCTCTGAAACAGAAGCATAGAACACAGAGGGAATGAGCCAGCTCAGCCCAAACAGGGGGTGGCGAGACCCGCACACCATGATGCAGCCATGGCAGGGACCCCTCGCAGCAAGGTCCCCATGCCCACCGAGAGGCGTACCAGCTGTAAGCATCTGGACAACTGCTGACATCCCAGCTCACGCACAGCCCAGAGTTCCCCCATGTCACGCCAACACCCTTGCCAGAAAGTGGGGTGGGTGGGTGCAGTGATAAAGGTTCAGAGTGCTCAAAAGCAGAGCAGAGCCTCTGGCTCCTATCTTTTATGCCTGAGAGCTTATCGCAAAAAAACTCAGAAGGGCGAAGAATCTGCTGTCTGTTGGGCCCCCTCAGTGCCCTCTGGAAATAGCCAGGCCTGAGGAAGGGCACGGGCAGCCTGGAGAAGGCCCAATCTCGAAGCTCCTACAATCGCTGTTGTTGTTTGGAGTGGCCTGTGCTGGCATGGCCACCAGACACAGTGTATCTGCAAGGCCTTGAAAAGCTGCCACCAACAGCAGACCAGCATGCTTGCTGCCCAGGAGGCTGGGGAATGCCTTTTCTTTTTTTCTTTCAGAATCACCATTAAAGCATCACTGTTGCACTATCTTTCCCATTAAGAATGTCCCTTAGAATGACAAGTCTTTAAAGGCAAGGGGTGGGGAGAGGTTGGTGGGCAGTTGACAAAGAAATCTCTGAATCTCCGAGGGAGGGTCCCAAGTTCCTGCAGCACTAGCTGCCTGAACAAGTGCACCACCTTACCTACCTGTGGCAGCTTGTCCTGTTTCCTGGTGGACCCAGGGGATGGGGGGTAGGCAGAGCTGTATAGGAGGAGAGTTTTCGTATGTGACTGAAGTTAAGTTGGTATCAATTCAAATTAGATAGCTGTAACTTTAGGGTATTATGTATAATCCTCATGGTAACCACAAAGAAAATGTCCATAGAATATACACAAAAGGAAATCAAAATGTGTTACTACAGAAAATCAACACAAAAGATGGGAAGAAATGAAGGAAAAAAAGCTATAAGACATACAGAAAACAAATAGCAAAAAGGCAGAAACAAGTTATCCCTTATCAGTAATTACTTTAAATGTAAATGGATTAAACTCTCTAATCAAAAGACATAGATTAGGAAAGTGGATTTGTAGTATCATGATTTATAATAAGAAATATATATTTGATCTTTGTCCCAATTCCTGGCACACAGTTTCTAAAACCCAAGGAATTTCCTAAGTGATGAGAGCTGTGAAGGTGAAAGGATATCTTGTTACTCATAACAAGCCCCTTCCAACCTCATCTGACTTTGTATTAATGAGGTGATTTTGGGAAAGCCCCTAAATAACCACAGGGTGGGAGCTGATTGCCAGTGGAACCGACCACGTAATTCGAGGGGTGGAACTTTCAGTCCTCCCCATCTCACTTGCCCCTGCAATGTCTGGGGAGGGGAGAGGGGCTGGAGGTTCAATCAATCACCAGTAGTCAATGATTTAATCAGTCATGCCTACCTAAGGAAGCCTGCATAAAATCCCCCCAAAATGGGGTTTGGAGCACTCTAAGTTACTGAATATGTGGAGGCGCTGAGAGGATGGCCTGTCTGGGAGGAGCATGGGGCTTCCATGCTTTGCTTCTCACATGCTTTGCCCTACGCATCTTTTCCATCCGGATGCTCATTTGTATCCTTGAAATACCCTTTGTAACAAACTGGCAATAGTGTTTTCCTGAGTTCTGTGAACTATTCTAGCAAATAGGGTCACAAGGAGAGGGTCATGGGAACTCTGATTTATAGCCAGTCAGTTAGAAGCACAGGTGACAACCTGGATTCATTATTGGCATCTCAAGTGGGGGCAATCTCGTGGGACTGAGCCTAAAGTTAACCCATGGGATCTGACACTATCTCTGGATAGATGGTGTCAGAATTGAATTAAATTATAGGACTCCCAGTTGGTGTCCACCAAAGAACTGGAAAATTGCTTGGTAGGGGGAAAAACCCACACATTCCATAACCAGAAGTGTCAGAAGTATTGAGAAATATAAGCGTTGTATGTAAGAGTAGAAGAGGAACAGAATTTTTTCCTCTCAGGATTTAAAAAACATGATTTAACTATATACCGTATTCAAAAGACTCACTTTAGGTCTAAAGACAGAAAAAGGTTGAAGGTGAAAGAATGGAACAAGATATTCCATACAAATAGTAACCAAAAGAGAATTTACATTGCTATACTAATATGAGAAAAAAACAGACTTTAAGGCAAAAGCTGTTATGAGACAAAGAAGTACATTATATATTAATAAAGTGATCAATCACCAAGAAGTTAGAACATATATGCACCAAATATCAGAGCCCCAAAATATTTAAAGCAAACATTGGCAGAATTGAAGGGAGAAATAGAAAGCTTTATGATAATAGCTGGAGACTTCAACAGACCACTTTCAATAATAGAATAACCAGACAGAATATCAATAAGGCAATAGAGGATGTGAACAGCCCCATAAACTAATGATACCTAACAGACATAGACACAACACTCCACCCAACAGTAGCAGAATATACACTCTTCTCAAGTGCACAGGGAACATTATCCAAAATAGACCACAAAACACAGTTAACCACAAAATGTGTCTTAATATATTTTAAAGGATTGACATAATAAAAGGATCTTTTCTGATCACATGGAATAAAGCTAGAAATCAATAACAGTAGGAAAACTGGAAAATTCACAATTATGTGGACATTAAACAACAAATGCATCAAAGAGAAAATCACAAGAGAAATCAGAAAATACCTTGAGAAAAATGAAAATAAAAATACAGCATACCAAAATTTAAGGGATGCAGTGGAAGCAGTACTGAAAGGAAAATTTACAGCTGTAAATGCACATACTAAAATAGAAGATCTCAAATCAATAACCTAATGTTACATCTTAAGGAACTAGAAAAGGAAAAGCAGACTAAACCCAAAGCTCGTAGAAGGATGGAAATGATAAAGATTAGAGTGAAGATAAATGAAATAGAAAAACAATAGAAAAACAGAAAAACAAAACCAAAAGTTGGTTCCAGAAAAATCAACAAAATTGGCTAAACTTTAGCTAGATTAACAAAGAAAAAAAGAGAGGAGATTCAAATTACTAATATCAGAAATATTACTATGAATTTTACAGAAATAAAAAGGATTATAAAAGAATACTGTGGACATTTATACCAACAAATTGGACAACCTAGATAAAATGGACAAATTCCTAAAAACACACAATCTACCGAAGCTGAATGATGAAGAAACAGAAAATCTGAAAGGACTTATTACTAATAAGGAGATTCAATCAGTAGTTAAAATGGTCTCAACAAATAAAAGCCCAGAATCAGATGGCTTCACTGGTGAATTCTACCAAACATTTAAAGAACTAATACCAATCCTTCTCAAACTCTAAAAATAAAGTTACCATATGATGCTGCAATCCTACTCCTGAGCATATATCCGGAGAAAACTCTAGTTTGCAACCCAATGTTCATAGCAGCACTATTTACAAAAGCCAAGACATGGAAGCAAGCTAAATGTCCACTGACAGATGAATGGATATAGAAGATGTGGTATATATACATACACAATACAATATTACTCAACCATAAAAAGAATGAAATAATGCCATTTGCAGCAATATGGTTGGACCTAGAAATTATCATATTAAGTGAAGTAAGTCACACAGAGAAAGACAAATATCATGAGATATCACAGTTATACGTGGAATCTAAAAAAATGACACAAATGAGCTTATTTACAACACAGAAATAGACTCACAGACATAGAAAACTTATGGTTAGCAAAGGGAATGGGGGAGATAAATTAGGAGTCTGGGATTAACATATACACACTACCAAATATAAAACAGATAAACAACAAGGACCCACTGCATAGCACAGGAAACTATACTCAATATCAGGTAACAACGAATAACGTAAAAGAATCTGAAAAAATATATATGTAGGGGGCTTCCCTGGTGGCGCAGTGGTTGAGAGGACGCCTGCCGAAGCAGGGGACACAGGTTCGTGCCCCAGTGCGGGAGGATCCCATGTGCCGCGGAGCGTCTGGGCCCGTGAGCCATGGCCGCTGAGCCTGCGCGTCCGAAGCCTGTGCTCCGCAACGGGAGACGCCACAGCAGTGAGGCCCGCGTATCGCAAAAAAAAAAAAAATATATATATATATATATATATATGTACATATGTATAACTAAATCACTTTGCTGTACACTTGAAACTAACACACACTGCAAATTAACTATATGTCAATTTAAAAACTTAAAAAAAGGAATAAAATACTTAGATTATATTTACCCAAGGATGTGGAAGACTTGGACACTGAATCTGCAAAACATTGCTGAAAGAAATTTTAAAAGACACAAATAAATGGAAAGACACATCCCATGTTCATGGGTTGGAAGACTTAATATTGTGAGGATGACAATACTACCCAAAGTGATCTAGGAATTCAGTGTAATCCCTATCCAAACCCCAATAAATGTTTTTTGTTTTTCATCCTAAAATTCATATGGAATCTCAAAGGACTTTTATGGCCAAAACTATCCTGAAAAAGGAAAGAAGGTGGATGACTCATACTTCCTGATTTCAAAATTTACCACAAAGCTACAAGAATCAAAACTGTGGTACCAACATAAGGACAGACATATAGAACAATGTAATAGACTAGAAAGTCCAGAAATAAACCCTACTTTGAGTGGGAAAAAAAAAGAGTGAAGACAACCCACAGAATGGGAGAAGTATTTGCAAAGCATGTATCTGATTAGGCATTAATATATACAGAGAGAGGAGATAAAAAGAACTCCTATAACGCAACAACAACAAAAAATCCTATAAAGTAACTAATACAAAAATGAGCAAAAGACTTGCATAGATATTTCTCCAAAGAAGATGTACAAATGACTACTAAGCATATGAAAAGATGCTCAACAACACTAGTCATTAGGGAAATGCAAATCAAACTACAATGAAATACCACTTCATACACATTAAGGTAGAATAAATACATGGAGAGAGAGGGAATATGAATATGAGGATGAGGAGAAATTGGAACTCTCATGCATTACTGGTGGGCATGTAAAATGGTACGGCCACCATGGAAAACAGTATAGCTATTCCTCAAAAAGTTAAACAAATACTTCAGCAATTTCATTCCTCAAAAGAACTGAAAGCAGAGACTCAAACAGGTATGTGCACACCAAGTTCAGACTAGCATTATTCACAAAAGCCAAAAGGTAAAAACAACCCAAGTGTCCACAGACAGATGAATAGAGACAAAATGTGGTATACATACAATGGAATATTATACAACCGTAAAAGGGACAGAATTTTAGTACATGGATTTGACAACATGGATGACTGTGAAAACATTATGCTAAGTGAAATAAGTCAGACACAAAAGGACAAACGTTGTATGATTCCACTTACATGAACTATCTAGAATAAGCAAATTCTAAAGACAGAAAGTAGAATAGTGATTACCAGGAGCTGAGGGTAGGGGAGAAAGGGGAGTTATTGTTTAATGGGCACAGAGTTTCTCTTTGGGATGATGAAAAGTTCTGGAAATGCATAGTGGTGACAGCTTCACAACACCGTGCATGTATTTAATGCCACTGAAATGGTTAAAATGGTAAAATTTTATGTTCTGTATATTTTACCACATACATACATATAAAGGTGAATGGATAATATGTTAAACTGTGGTTCAGTTTAGTAAGTTACAACGGAATATAATTCAGTGATGAAAAGACCTATGAAGTCACAAAAAGACCTATGAAGTCACAAAAAGACATGGAGGAAACTTAAATGCATTTTGCTAAAGGTTAAAGAAGCCAATTTGAAAAGGCTATATACTATATGATCCCAAGTATATGATATTCCAGAAAATGCAAAACTATGGAGAACAGTCAAAAGATCAGTGGTTGCCAAGGGTTAGGGAAGAGGGAGGGATAAATATGTAGAGCACAGATTTTTAGCCAGGTAAAACTACTTGTATGATACTGTAACGGCAGACACAGGACATTACAAATTTTTCAAAACTCATGCAATATACAACACAAGAACTTTATTTAGTAATACCTAAAGTTATTAATATTCTATCAATATTGGTTCATTAAGTGCAACAAACATACCACACAAATGCTAGATGTTAATAATACAGGAAATGGGGTGTGGGGACCCTCTGTGCTATCTGCTCAATTTTCTATAAACTAAATATGTTCTAAAAATAAAATCATTAATTAAAAAGAAATCCTATTTGGAAATTCCGTAGCTGAATTTTAAAGAAAGAAAATGAGAGTCACAGAAAGCAGATGAATTCTTGGATTGGGTGGGGTTCCCTGGAAAGGAGCATGAAGGAACTTTCTAGAGTGATAGAAATGTTCTGTCTTGATTAGGCCTGGGCTGGTTGTTCCAAGGGTGCATTCATTAGTCAAAACTTATAGAATTATTCACTAAAAATGAGTGTATTTCTAAGTAAATACTACCTCAATAAGGTTGATCTTTTTAAAATAGGGTCATTGAGGTGGAACAAGTGGGGCCTCCTCCCTGATTTCTTCCATGGGGCCAACTCAACAGACTGTCTTTCTCATCTCTCTCTCCTCCTCCTGGATGGTCTTTTCTCCCCCAGAATATGAATTTCTATCTTCTGATTCTCCGAGCCTCTGAAAGTCAACCTTGAAAATGGACTTGTCAGCAGCTCCAACTTGGTGAAGAAGCCATGGACAGGGATGCAGAGAGACCTGCCACCACCACAGGGCCGGACCCTCCTGGTCACCTGGCTTCAGCACCTACAACCTCTCTGATTAAAGAGTTAATATTGGCCATAGTTCATGGAGTGTGCCCCAAGCTTGGGCATTCTGTGGGCTCTAGGCATACAGATAATCGTCATTCTTCCATCAGCTCTGCTACACAAGCATGACTACCGCCCCCATTTTCAGAAGAAGAAACTGAAGCACAACGAGTAGGCTTATCTGAGACCTGCCTAAGACCTCAACCAGCTAGGGAGTGATGTATCGAGGTCAGGACCCAGGCACAGCACAGTGTTGGGGCCAATTCTTGACATCTAAATTTTCTGCCTCTCTAATCAACCTACTAATTAATTATGCAATTAGCTGCATCATGTCTGTTCCTGGCCAAGCCATAGGCTGTCTTGCCCAGCACTACCAGTGTGTGCACCTGTGCATAGTGCCAGCACACACTAAGCACTCACTAAAGAGTTTGGGAATGAATGGACGTAGGTCCAAGGCTCAAGGGCAAGGGCTGTCAGTGGATGGTGGCCAGCATCTTGCAGTGGCTCCTCCTACCCTGCAGGCTGCTAGCCAGGTGGGGCCTCCATTGCCTGCAGCTGCCAGGCACGGATGGCATAGCCTGGGGGCCAAAGCTCTGGGCTCTGCTGTGCGCTGTGCACACAAACCACACCCAAGCAGCCATTCAGAGGCATGAGAAAGCACAAAAAAGGAAACCACTTTGGTCCCAAGTGCTGATAAACAGTCCCAGACAGTTTTTACAGGACAAAGGAAGAGGAATGCTCTGGCATAAAATTCACCAGACCTTCACCAGCAACCTCTGCTAAGCCCTACCTCCCCCATCATCTTGCCCTCCTGGCAGCACCACAACCATGGACAACCCCGCCCCCCCGCCAACCTGTTAGCCTGGCTTGGCAATAGAGGCCCTGTGGGAGCTGGCCTCACTTGCCCTCACCGGGCCTTGCAGGCCCCTGAGCCATTCCTGCACAGCAACCCCCAACTGCAGTGTACTGCCCAGGATTCCCGCCCTTGGCACAAGAATACCTGTCCCTGTGGTTTCCGCCTGGCTAACTCATGCTCACTGCCCTCCCGCCAAGAGACCTTCCTGAGCTCCCCCGCCGCCCCACCCAAACCAAAGTCCAGATGCTTGGACCTCAACCTCCCCTCCCAAATTGAATCTCCCAGAATCCCCTCCTGTCCCAGTGCCCAACCTGGCCTCAGGCATGGAGTTGAGATGGCGCACTCCCCAGCACACCACAAGGCAGGGACTGGTTCTGCAGCAACAGCAATTGCTGCAGTGACACTCGGCCAGTGCTGGCCCTGAGCAGACGCATCAGGCCCCACACACTCTCTGCAACCCTTTGTAGAGGCCCCAGAACCAACATGAGGCAGTTTCCTGTTGGTGCATGGAGACAGTGAGCCAGGAACTTGAGGCCCGCAGCCTTGCAAGCCTGCCCATTTGACCCTCCCAGGCCTGTGCTCTCTGGGCCCCAGTTCCCCATACCAAAAATGAAGGGCTCTTTGGGAAGAGGTCTCTAGAGGCCCAGGACACAGAGATGGCAGGGAGAAAGGGGATTGGTGGGCCTGGGCAGGGTCTAGTCCTGGCTCTGCCACTGACTGCCCTAGCAGTCTGGGGCACCTGCCCAACCTGACACTTTATTTCCTCATCCACACATAGAGATATTCCACTTTTCCCCATACAGCAGTTCTGAATGGGAAGCACCTGATGCAAGACCAGGTGCACAATAGGTACAACAGACCCTGGAACAATGCAGCGGTTGGGGGCGCAGATCCCTGAGCAGTCGAAAATCCACACATTACTTTACAGTCAGCCCTCCATATCCATAATTTTGCATCCAAGGATTCAGCCAACCTGAGGTCATGTAGTACTATAGTATGTATCGAAAAAAATCCACATATAAATGGACCCTCACATTTGAAACCTCAAAGGGTCAACTCTACTCAGAAACAGCAGCCACAGATAAAAAGATTCAGAGAGATGACAGGGGAATGCACAGCAGCTGGGGTCTCTTCTGGCTAAGACTGGGACACTGGTGTCCTGGAAATCACCAGGTTCCTGCCCATGAAATCCTATTTGTGTGCAGGACTCAGGCTGGAACTCCAGTGAGTTCTGGGGAGAGAACAGGGACTTCTGGGGCCTTCCTGGCCCCGTGGGCCACCCCTAGGTAACTTCTACCTCATGAAGCAGCCTGACCATGCTGTCATGGGCTCTGTCACCAGCCTGTCTCTTCTCATGGAGCTTCTCCTACAGGAAAAGGTCCATAGGGAAGGGTCACCCTGCTCAGTTAGGGTCAGGAAGGTGGTGGGCGGGTCCCCACTCCAGAGAGGCCCTTGGCGGATGACTGGGCTGGAGAACCCATCCAGGGAAAAGAAGGAAGGACTGGGGCAGTTCAGTATGGGGCACAAAGCCTTCGGGGACCGAGTCGGTATCCACAATTCCCCTGGGCCTGTCGCTGGGCAAGGGGTGCAGCCTGGGAGGCACCACAGAGTCCCATGGGTACCACACACTGCCCAGGTATGCACCACCTGTTGGGCATTCTTCTCAGGTAGCTGTGACGACGGAGTGTCTATATTTCCTGATAGAAGCACAGTAGAATCATTTTTATTTTCACCTCCCACTGTCAGGCCTCAACCCTAGCTCCCCCACCCGCCCATGCAGCATCTCCCCACCTACAGACGTGCACTGGCCGCTGCCCTCCCGGAACCACCCACGACGTGGCCCCCACCCACTAGAACCTTCTTCCATGGCCTGACCTGGCCTCAGAACCATCCCAGGCCCAGCCTCTGTCCCCCAGAACCCTCTAGGGCCTCACCTGGCCTCGCCGTCCAGGCCCCTCCAAGGTGGGGCCCCCAACGCTCAGAAGCCTCCAGGGCATGACGTGGCCTTGCCCAACAGAACTCTCCAGGGCTTGTCCATGGCCCCCGCCCCCAAGAACCCTCCAGGACCCGGAGTGGCCTCGCCCCCCAAGAACCCAGCCCCGGGCCGCAAGCCGGCCTACCGTCGTCTCGTCGACAGGACACTTAGTCACGGGCAAGGTCACTCGCCGCCGCGAGGAGCGGCCCCCAGTGTGGCATCGGGACACCCGGACCCTATGGGCCACCGTGGCCGCGCGCCCGTCCCTGTATGGCAGGCACGACCCCGGACCGCTCTCACCTGTCATGGCGGCGGCACGCCGTGCACCCAGCTGGCCTAGCCAGTCCCCCTGCCGCCGTCAGTCAGCCTGGCTGTCCGGCCGCGGCCCGTCGACCCCTGTGACGACCGCCCGCTCTTTCCCTGTGAGCCCCGCCCCCGGCATCGTCGCGGCTAAGCCCTAACCCCGCCCTCACTGAGCCCGCCCCTTCCCGATGGGCCCAGTCCTTAGCGTCGGCTGCGTCGCCTCGAGGGCTCTAAATCCCCATCCCTCTCTCGAGCCCCGCTTCCGAACGCGTGGGCTACGAACTCTGCCGAGCCCTTAGCCCCTCCCCTCACTGGGCCCGGCCTTCCGAGAGCCCGGGGCATCGGCTTTGTCACTGCGAGAGCTCTAAACCCCGCCCTCACTGAGCCCCACCCTCGCGGACATTAGCTCTGTTGCTGCCACAGCTCTTGAGCCCCGCCCCTCGCTGAGCCCGGTCCTCATCAGTTACTGGGCCTCCAGAAGCCTTAAGCCTTGAGCCTAGCTCCCGCCCGCAAGGGGAGCTCTCAGCTCCACCTCTCACTGAGTTCCGCCGCCGCTGTCCTGGGATACGTCACCACCAGATCCCTGAGCCATGCCCTTTTCCACGCGGCCCCGCCCCCGCCTGCGTCGATGGCGTCGCCGCGACCACTCTAAATGCCGCCCCCATTCTAGCCCCGCCCCCTCCGGCGCCAGCTACGTCGCCGCGCAACTCTGAGTCCCGCCCCTCACCCGAGCCTCAACCTGGTCTCTGGCGTAGCCTCGTTTATACCCTATGTTCTCCGTCCTGGCCTTTACCCACTTTGGACCCGTTCAGTCTTGGCCTCACGGGGCGGCCAGGGTCCGGACCTGGATGAGCGCTTCCGGACACAGTCCACCGTGCCCGTGCGCCGACCCCTCCACCCCATGAAGGAACTGGAGGATGGGTGCAGCTGTCGGATGGAAACCCCAAAACTCTTGGGCCGAGTCGTGGTGGTCACCACGGGAACCATCCCCGCTCCGAACACTGAAAGTGAGTCTGGCCCGCCTTACCGGAAAAGCCCAGCCGGGTCTTACCCCAGTCCGTGGGACAACACGGGCAGTGCCAACCTGGGGCAGGAGGGCTGTATAGCATGACCTGGGGGTGCACTAGGGGAAGTCCAGGCCTGCTCGAGGTCCCACGGCCGCCCTCCTGGAGGGGGCCTCCTGCCCACCAGTGGAACTGGCCTCACACCCCCTCCCCCATTACTCTGCATCCCTCATGCTGGGTCATGACTCTGCAGACGAAAAGTGTTGCCTTTGACATCCCAGTAAACATAAATGTTACCCACTATTAAGCCATTAGGCACTGCAGCACCCCCCTTGGGGGGAATTCAGGATGGAGAAAAACGGGATACAGACCCCAGATAGATGAGATGCATATCTAAGGAATAATTTCAATAAGCCCAGATTCTTGTATCTTCCCAAACAGAAAAGCACTCAGATCATTAGCTTGACATGTCTGTTTTTGTGATTAGTAATCTTTTGATACTCGACTACATGGGTTTTTTTGTGTTTTTTTTCTTCGGCAAAAACTCTTGTGTATCCTGGCTCCTGTCAACTGGAAAAAATGCACAACCTAAAAGTTGAGAATTATGTTTTATTTGGTAGACTTTCTGAGGATTTCAAGCCTGGGAGGTAGCCTCTCAGATAGCTCTGAAAGACTGCTCCAAATAGGTAAGGGGGGCGCCAGGATATATAGGAGTTTTGCAACAAGGACCAGGTAGTTGGGACATCAAAAGATTACTGTATAAGACTTCCCTGGTGGCGCTGTGGTTAAGAATCCGCCTGCCAGTTCAGGGACACAGATTCGAGCCCTGGTCTGGGAAGATCCCACATGTAGCGGAGCAACTAAGCCTGTGCACCACAACTACTGAGCCTGCTCTCTAGAGTCTGTACTACTGAGCCCACACGCCACAACTACTGAAGCCCGCACGCCACAGCTACTGAAACCCCTGCACCTAGAGCCTGTGCTCGGCAATGAGAAGCCAGTGCAATGAGAAGCCTGTGGACCGCAATGAATAGACCCCACTCACAGCAACTAGAGAAAACCCGTGCGCAGCAGCCCCAAAATAAATAAATAAATAAAATTTATGTTAAAAAAAAAAGATTACAGTTTGTTAAAGAAAACCAGGTATCTCAAGTTGATGAATTTAGTGCTTTTCTTTGTATGGGAAGATGCAAGAGTCTGGGCTCATTGAAATCATCCCTTTGATATGCACCTTACCTATCTATGGCCAGTATCCTTTTGTTTCCCATCCTGAGTCCCCTGACGGTGCACTGCTGGGGTTGGCTGCAGTGGCTGAGGGTTTGGGGAGTAAGGGGCAGTCCGTTTGTCTGCATCCTGAGTTCCCTCAGCGCTCCTCATAGGGGGCAGTGGTAGTGGCTGATGACTGCAACATCCTTTTTTTGTGTGTGTGGTACGCGGGCCTCTCACTGTTGTGGCGTCTCCCGTTGCGGAGCACAGGCTCCGGACGCGCAGGCTCAGCGGCCATGGCTCACGGGCCCAGCCGCTCCGCGGCATGTGGGATCTTCCCGGACCGGGGCACAAACCCGTATCCCCTGCATCGGCAGGCGGACTCTTAACCACTGCGCCACCAGGGAAGCCCACTGCAACATCCTTTTATGTTTACTGATGCAGCAGGCAACATTTTTCATTCACAGAACAGTTCCTCAGAGCTACCTGAGAGGCTGTCTCCAGGGCTATAGTCCTCACTAGGGTCCCTGAATAAAACATAACTGGCAACTTTCAGGCTGTGTGTTTTTTAAAAGTCAACAGCTCCTAGCATTTACTTCTCTTAGTTCCTTTCACTCTCTAGGAGTAATGTCAGTGGCATAAATGTGGGGTCTAGATGGACAGAGGACACAGTGAGGAAGGGGGGCTCCTAGGCCAGACTCCTTCCTGGGTGGCCAACATTCCATGCCACTCCCACCAAGGGACAGATAGGGAAACTGAGGCTCAGAGCAGCAGATTTCTGGACCTTGCCCCTGTTCAGCAATGCCAGGGCCTCCGAAGTGCAGGATTTTCTAGAGGTACCCCACTCCCTGGTAGACAGGCCCTGTGCCCCTTGGGATGTGCATGCCAGGCAAGCTAGGGCAGGGGATCCCCACCCTGTGAGTGGCAGCAGACGCTCAAAGGGTCAATGGGTGGGCCCTGGGCACTCCCCTCCCCAGATGGGGCGGGGAGTGTGTGCAATGTCTCCCTCCTTGCCCACTGCCCCACTGCCACTGCACGATTCGGATCGAAAGTGAACACTCAGGAAGTTGGGCCATCTGAGGTGGGAGGGCGGGCCTCCTGGGGACCCTCCCTAATCTGCTGAACACTGTGGGTCTCACATGCAGAGGGAAACATCTCCCTGTGTGGACTTACTGGTGCGAACTGACGTTGCTCCCCACCTGTCCCTTAACATCCGGGATGCACTGGCCCTGACCCTCACCCCCACCCCCACTGCTTTCACTTCTGACTTTTGCTTCCGTAGAATTTTGTAATCCTGGCATGCTTTATGTGATCAGAAAGTAAATACAAGTTGAAATCAGGCAGGGAGAGCTCTTCCCACGTGGTGTCTGCACTTGCCACTTGCCTGATCTCCTCAGGACTGCCCTCCCCTCCAACATGTAGGCAAAGTCAAAAAGCAAACAAGAAACTGGGACATGTTAGCAGCTCATCCCCCTAATTAATAAAGAGCTCCTAGAAATCAGAAAGAAAGCAGTCAACATTCATATACTCAGAGAAAGAGGAAATGCCTAAGGAGCTGCTCAATTTCACTCATGATAAGAACATCGTGTTCCATGGGTACAACTGGCACAAATCCAAGACCCTGATCAGACCTTCTGTGGGCCAAGCCGTGGGAACACCTCACCACAGGGCACCACCACAGGCTCCCCATCCTGTCCCCCCAGGCACTTCCTGCTGCCCATCTCCCAACTAGAATGTCAGTTCCCAAAGGCAGGGCCACATCTACTTTGGTCACAGTGCCAGACTTACAGCAGGTGCTCTGTAAATGCACTTAGAGCCTAACTAGATGAGCTGAATAAAGCGGCAAGCACAGGCCAGAGGCAGGAGGAATGCAGCGTGCCTGTGGGCTGAGAAGCAGCCTGCCTGGGTAGAGCTGACCATGCGAAGGGTTGGGGTGGGTGATAAAGGGCCTGAACACTGCGGAGGTGCAAGGGCATTCTCCTCCCACATTCTCATATGGCCAAGGGCCACAATTCATTCATTCAATCATTAATTTATTTAGTAAATATCTCCTAAACTCCCACCATGAGCCCAACCAAGAGGTAGATTGTCACTGGGAGAGCAGAGGAGCCCTGATCCCATGGAGCTTCCATCAACAGCAGCAAAACACCTCTGAGTGCAGGTGCTGAGTGTTGTGAAGAGCAGGAGGCTAGAGGCTGCCTGGGGAGGCTGCCAGCCTCCAAGATGGCCTCTCACATTGTTACAGAACTCAGGTTTGGCTGCTCACTGCTCAAAAGTCAATAATTGAGGACCAAGTGTCGATAGAAAAGGTGCTTTATTCTGAAAAGCCAGCAATCTGGAGAGAAGGTGAACTCTTGTCTGGAGCCCAATTCCAAAGATTCTGCTCAGCCATGACAACTTTTAAAGGGAACAAGGGGAAACGATCTCAGTGAATCATTAATGTAAGAGGTCAGATTCATCGTCATTTTTCCATTGCGTGCAGACCTGCTGGCTTCTCCTGATCTTCCTTTGGATGCTGTCTTGCTCACATGGTCCCCCTAGAATTGGATGTTCCCTTGCCCATGTGGTCTGCCTTGCAAATGTACCAAGGGTAAGATAGAGGTAGAGAGTCAGTCATTCTTTAACTACGTAATTCTTCATTCTTACTCCTTTGAATCCAGGAATGAACACATTAGACTAGGCATTGTGTACATCCAGTAAAGCAAAACTCAGGAGCTGTGTTACATGTTGCCTAGTGATCTCATCTTTCTGATTAAGGTCTGAGGAAAACAGGGATGAGCAGATGGAAAAGGGGCAAAAGAGCTGCTGCAACACACTGGGTCACACCCCTGTGCAGTCTTCTCCGCAGCAAATCAGGCCAGTCTTTCTGACTGGTGAAATGTGGCAGAGGTGATGGTGTGTGACTTCTTCGGCTGGGTCGTAAAGGGGATTGTGGTTCCTGCCTTTCTCTCCTGGATCACTGTCTCTGGGCGAGCCAGCTGCCATGTCATGAGGATGCCCAAGCAGTGCTGAGGAGTATAGGGAGGAGCTGGACCCCCAGCCAACAGCCAGCATCAACTCGCCATGAGGGAGTCCCTGGCTCCAGTCAAGCCTTCAGCAGAAAGCCTGTCCAACATCTGACAGCAGCCTCAAGAGAGATCCAGAGACACAGCCACCCTGCCAAGCCTCACCTGAAACTGTGAGAGATAATAAATGATGATTATTGTTTCAAGCAGAAGGGTGAGGTCAGGTGGTGACAGGCAGGTCACACAGGGTAATACAGGCCAGGCAGCTGGGAGCTGACAACATGAGGGTTATGAGCTGGGGAGGCGGGGTCGG